CCAGGAAACATTTTGACCGTAAACATCCTGCCGATTTGAACGGAGGGTTTGGGCGGCAGGAAGAGCCGCGGCCATAGCCGCCGCCATCTTGTTTGTTTGAGTGAATCGGAGAGGAGGCGGAGGCGGCGGGCAAGCGGCTGCCGCGGCGGCGGAGGAGGAGGCAGCAGCAGCGGCGGCAGAGGAGGCGGTAGAAGCAGGGGCAGCGGGAGAGGCTTCCCCTCACACCGGGCGAGGGGTGTCCCCCCCTCTCCCCGTCCCCCCCCCCCCCACCCCCCCCCCCCCCGCGGCCCCCCCGCCCGGGCCCGTTCCCGGGGGGGCCCGGGGGGGGGGCCCCCGCCCGGCCCCCCCCCCCAGTCTTCCCCGCCTTCGGGGCGCTGAGCGTCCGGGCCCGCTGCGGGAGGGAGCGAGAGCCGAGCCGCGGCCGGGCCCAGTGCCCGCGGGATCAGGCCCGGCCTCCTCGCCGGGCTCCCCTGGACAAGCCCCGGCGCGCGCGGGGGGTGAGGGAGTAGATTTAATTAAAAACACCCCGCCCCTCGTCGTAACCTCCCGTTGATCGCAGCTGGGGCCCCGGGGATCAGGAAACGCCGGCTCTGAAGCCCCCCACCCCGCCCCCGGGGCCTGGCCGAGAGATGGGGGGGATCCTCCGGAGAAGCGGGATCTCCGGGGAGATGGCCCGCCCCCGACCCCAATGCCAACTTCTGAGGAGGAGCAACAGTTTGTAGAGCTTGGGAGGCAGGCATCAAGGAAGTGGACCCGGCAATGGCCGGGCCGGGGCAGCCCGGGGCCCAAGATTCTGGAGCCCTTCTCCCCCCTCCCTTTGAGGGACTTATCCCTTTAAGGCGACACCACAATTGGGAAAGACCAAATAGAAAAAACGAGAAAAAAAACTCGAAGAGAAACATGCTTTGGGCCCTTAGAAGAAGACTGCGGTAGTTAGTTCTCTGTTTCCCCCTCCTCAACTTTCCTGAACGCTGGTTAATGTTTGGTGGAGATTCTGGGGGGAAATGTGTCTGATATATTTAACTTGAAGTCTCTGGATCAAAAAAGGCCAGAGGTCCGGAGGGAGGGAGGAGGCGGTTAGAAAAAATACCTAAGTTCTTGAGAAGTGAAGAGATCACCATGTATAATCGTGCTACTAAAGTTTATACTAAGTAAATATATTTCGAGTTTGAATGGAGTAAAACTGAAAGACGCGCCTTGTTGAATCAGTTATGACTTTTTTATGCCGCCTTTAGCTTTGCAAAAAGTTGCAGAATTCATCTTGATTTTCTAGTGAAAATTTAAGTTTGTTGCCTTATCTCATTGTAAGCAAAAGTATTTTAATCACAAAATATTCTGAATATAAGTTGAAAACGCTTCATACATAAATGCCTGTGAGTCGTGTATGCAATCGTGTAACGTCATGAGTTATGAAAATTGAAAAGCTACATGTTTTAATGTCAGAAGCAACAGAAAGGATCATGTTTACCTTAAAGAAATCCTAGAGTAGATGAAAATGTTATGGATAAATTACTTAATTGTAAAGTTGAGTAAGCTCAAGCTGTATGGAATGATTAGCACTGTACACTTTAATAAGTAAATAACAAAGTTTGCTGTTAAGAATTCCACTTATGTAACTTAATCATACAGTCTGACCGGAATTTTTTGCTAAGTTTTCTAAAGTATAAATGCACTTTAGCTGAATGTCTGGCATGTAATAGGCACCATATAAAGGTTTATTCCTACTCCTCCTCCCCCTTAAATTAAGTATTTCTAGCCCCTTTCAGCTTTAAAACCTATGATCTAGAGTGTGCAAATTGAAGGGGCTAGTTTATTTAAAAGAGGGAAAATGTGAATAGTCTTAAGTAAGCAATGTTTTGAGTTTTTCCACATGCATTGATTTTCTTACCAGAAATACCAATGCTCCATCTGGAAAATAGACATTTTCTTTACATGCATCCATATAGATACAGAGCAAGGACGCAGCTTAACAGACAAGTCTGTATAATGGGTATTTGGGCTAAGATCACTTACAGCTCTAGATCCTGTTATCCTATGTATTTAATTACATAGAATATGCTTTCCAATAAGAATTTATTATCTTTACATTTTCTGTTAAAAAGTTTTTCATTTGCTGAAATGACTTCAACTTCTTTGTGATTTATTTAGATTATAAGCATTCAAGTGGAAAAGAAACAATACCAGCAAGTCCAAAAAATTTTTTAGTATACCAAACGATATTTTCTCTGAAGACTGTAATTTGATAAAAGAACAATCTAATTGAAATTAAGTTCAATATCTGTATTCAAGTGTCCACATCATTAAAATTGTCGTATATGCTCATTATCAATTATTGTTTATACACTGCTGTTGGATTTCTAGATAGGGTTCTGAGTTTCACATGTAATAATGCTGATAATAACAGGAACGAGGCATTATTGATTAATTTCAACATGGAAATCCAGAAATTAATTTAACTGGCATTTTGGAGACATATGGGAAAAATAACTTTGCCATATTCTGTATTCCTTAAAATGTGCTAGAACATCAACTAATTTTTCTACCACGCTAATATAACTGTTATTTTTATGTTAAATTGCCTTTTGATATCAGAATCAATCAGGGCTTAACCTTTTTTTTTTTCTTTTTTTTTTTTTTTGGAGTTAGCAACATTTAGTCCTAAATTCATATAAGCAGCTTTTTAGGGAGTTTGTAATACATTTTTGGTTAGAAAGTACAGATGATCACAATTTTCTGTTATTATTTTAAACAAGTGATAATGTTATCAGGGTACTATAATCTAAATTACATATGCTAATAGAAGGAACTGTTGGCCACATTGAAATAAGACCAATGCTTTCCTCAGGCTGACTTTACCTGCCAGATTACTCTCCAGGCCAGCTTCCCTGCTACAGCTTTACCTACGCTTGCCAAGAAGTTGCATCTGCTCAGAAACTTAGGTTCCTGTGGTAGAATGAAGATTGACTATTTTGAGGCACAGTTCTAACCAACAGCTGAAGAGCTACCGTGAGCTAGTCACACCTGGTAGAAGGTGCCAACAGCTCAATTTCCAGAGCTTTCAAAAAATGTTTAAGAATATTTGGTGGTCAACGAATTGACTCCTGGTAGAGTTCATCACTTTTTCAAGTGTTTAGATTCTAAACTTTAGAAGATAACTTTTAGTCCTTATAACCATTATATAAGTGTCTGTTTCTGTGGGTAAGTTAATAACTGACAGTGAATCATTCAAAAAAATCTTTTAATATCAAGATATCTAAAAGGAATTTGAATTTGTCATTTTTCTCTTATGTATACATATTCTTTAGATTAATTACTATAATAATCTTGAACAATTGAAACAGTAGTACTAGATGTCAACAAGTGAGCTTCTTGAGTTGTAGGATGTAAATATGTGAAAAGTACTTGAGGGAAAAGGAACTGAGAAGTCATTATTAAATACTGCTCCTACCCTGGAATTTACTTAAATCCTTGCTTCAATATCCTCTAGTGTGTCTTGAATCATTGATTGGGAAGAAAAATGAATATTCAGTTTTGAATAAGTAGCTTTGGGAATGGAAATGCCTTTTTGCCTTCTTTTAGGGAGCATGATGCCTTAGAATAAATGAGGATCATCTGAGAGCATTCAATTTAAATGAATGAAAGTTTTCAAAACATTTTGCTGTTAAGTGCTGAAAAGGTGGCAGTGGCCTGAATGCATCTCATTCTACTTATCCATAACTAGACTTTTCTGTCAAGCTTTAAATCTGTATATATGTCAACCAGTGTGTCACTGGAATCACAAATATTTTCTATTCTCAAAGGAGCTATAATACTTTACAGACTATTAAAAGTAATTGGAGCGTATCATAGTTTTGGTGTGAGAAGTGTTTTGTAACATTTATTTTCAACACCAAATTTTCTAGTCTTTTTAAATGGTATATTAATGCACCAAAGGAAAAATGATTAACGATCTCCTCCGTGACTTCTTTATGGTGTGTTTGATATGTTTTATCGGCTTGTTTTCTTATTGCTTTTGCTTTACTGCTATGACTATCATCTGATGTAGTTACTGGGTCAGGTATGAACAGTAAGCCATAGTTTCAAAATTTGCAGAGTTGGGGAATGGTAGACTCTAATAAGCTTGTAGTTGAGCTCTTACTGTATCAGGCTTGAATTTGGGGCAGGGAGGAATGGCATGAATTTTTACTCTCTGGTTAGTCCTTAGTTGAAAAATGAGATGTTTTTATTCTTGAGCATTATTTACTTGCCATATGTAGTATTTTGTTTCTAGTTGGTGAAACTAAAATGTTTCCCCATATATCTGTGAGTATGAAAAGGCAGTAAAATTTGGATGAACTTCCAGGATCAGATTTTTGGGAAAAGTTCCTCTGAGAGTCTGGTGTGTCTTGTTCATGGGGAAGGTAGGTGAGAAAAATAATTCTGTATTGAAAATTTAAAACTCTTCCTATTTAAGGTGATGGATCCTTCCACCCTATTAATATGAAATTGCTGAATCAGTGGGCCTGTTATTAAGTTCCTACTGTACCAGCTGCAGGGACTACAAGGGGGAAAAAAATGGAAGTCCCTGCCCTAAAGGAGCTTACATTATTTTGGGGGAGACAACATGTACAAATATAAGTTAGCTACATGTGGAAGATAGAATTTGAGCTGAGCTTTGAAGAAAATTAGCAATCCTAAGAGGCAGAAGTAAGAAAATCATTCCAGTCATAGAAGGCAACCTATGTAAAGGCATAGAGGTAGATAGATAGAGATGGAATGGTCAATTTGGGGAACCAGAATTTGACTAGAACATAGAGTACACAAAAGAAAATAATGTAAGATAAATCTATAAAATTAAGTTGCAGCTGAAATGTGAAGTACTTTTTAAATGTCAACTGGGAAATTTGTATGTATCCCAAAAAGTATCTGTATTGCTGACATCAAGATCAGATTAGGGAAATGTATGTTTCCGCATTTGTTGCATATATGATTTTTTAAAAATTGTCTTTTTTGACAGGTTTTCTAGTCAGCTGGCACCATGTTCTACGCTCATTTTGTCCTGAGTAAGAGAGGGCCGCTGGCCAAAATTTGGCTAGCGGCCCATTGGGATAAGAAGCTAACCAAAGCCCATGTGTTTGAGTGTAATTTAGAGAGCAGCGTGGAGAGTATCATTTCACCCAAGGTATGTTTTATGTTGATATTAGTAGACATTTTGTTATGTTTGTTAGCATGAAATACTAATTACAGAAACCTTTAAGGCTTAAGTTTGTTTATTAAGGACAAATGAAATTGAGAGAATATCCCAAACCATGTGTTGTTAATAGATTAGCATAAAACTTGATCAGATAAGATTTTCTCGTTATTATTGATGTAATTTTGGTCTGATCTTTTTTTTAAACAATGTCTTAATAGTAATTGCTAAATAAGCTATTTAGCATTATTCCAAAATAAGTATAGTCAGTTCTTTGTTAATGTATAATAACAACCTCACTAATCTAAATTTTTAACACACATGTATGTATGTATGCATTTAATGTTTAGCTCCAAAGGCAGGTTTTTTGTTTGGGTGCCCTTGATCCAACAATTCACACCCACTGGGTGAAGATTACCGGAAAGAACACTTTTGCTCTGAGTAAAAGCAGTCCTAATCATTAGATCTGTTTGCCTCTTGACTCAGGAGTATCCAGAAAATTTCCATATTCTGCTTTCCTGTTCAACCTCTACCATTTAAGCACAAGCCTAAAAAACTGTATTCTCTTTTTTAATCTACCTGTGTCTCAGCTTCTTGAGGACTCAGAAGTATGGTTTTCTAAACTTTAAAAGCTTTTTTCAACTCCTCTCTACCACACCAAGATCCTGGTTTTTTCAGTTCTTAGAACATTTTCTACAAGTTACCAACTGTCCTTTGCTTGAAAATTGCTTCCAAAGCTAACCATTCCTTTTTTTTTTTTAATAGTTCTGATCATTAGGAACTTGTGTTTGTCTTGAGCCAGAACTTTCTTCCCTATAACTTTTGTCCATTGATCTTAGTGGTTTTCTACCAAGCAGGATAGGTCTAAATTGTTTTCCACATTAGAACCTTCCAGCTGTTTGAAGATGATTTTGTCTTTCTAACCCCCAAGTCTTTTCTTCACCAAACCAAACGCTCCCGGGTGCTTCATAGGGTAAGGATTGTACTTTGAAGCTCCCCTGAAAAAAGTCCAGTTCTTCAGTGTCCTTTCCAAAATGCAGCTGCTCCTATTGAACAGACTTGCCTTTCAGAGAGGCAGTATCTTTTAATGGCAAGAGCACATGGTACTTGGAATTGAGAGACATGGGTTGTAGTAGTTAACAGCCCTGTGACCATGTGCAAGTACATTAATTTCTGAGCGTTTAGGATCAAATTGAGAATATATGTAGAATAATTGGCAAGCTATTATTCTCAAGATTTTCCTCTTTTACAGTCATGGAGACTTGCCTTCCCCCACAGAAAACATTTTTGACTGTCTTTTTTAACACTGAATACACCTTCTCTTGTCCCCAGACACCCTGATTCAAGAGGAGTATGCATGCTTACTGGTCCCTGTTACTGCTTCTAACTCTCCCCTTCCCCTCATGCTGCCACCTCTTAGTAACCTCTCCTTTGAGGTTCACTCTCTTCATATCACCTTACTTGAACATTGTAGCAGTTCTCTATATCCCTCAATCTTCTCCTTTATCAAAGAATGTAGTTCTTGGTTAATGGTCTTCCATCTCTATGCTAACTGACTGACACATTTACGTATCTATCTCTACCATCTTCTGAGTTCTAGCCATGTATGTCTAATTGCCTGTTGGATATTTCAAACTGGACATCCTATGGGCATCTCAAACTCAACATGTCCAAAACTGAGTGCACTCCCATGTTACCTTCACATCAAAGAAGTCTTTGTATCCTTCACAACTCTTCTCAGACACTTCTTTCTACATGGAATCTTTCCTGATCTTTTCCCATCCTTGAAACTGCTTTTATTTCACCCCTACTCTCCAAATTTTACCTTGTATTTATTTGAATTTACTAACTTATGTATGTCTTCCCTGATAGAATGTAAGTTCCTTTGAGCTGGAAATTGTTTTGCTTTTGTCATTGTATCCCTGTTGCCTGGCACCTAAGTACTTTATAAATGCCTACCCTACCCTTAAATTAGAGAACTTCAATATTCAAACACTCTAGCCTCTTAGTTCATTAATTTCTACTCCATCTAAGCCCAACATAGGAACAATCACATCCTACACCCTTGATCTCATTTTAACTTTTTGTAAGAAAATTCCTCTATCTACCCATATTTTCCTGTGATTCTGTCTCTTCCTAAGCAACACTCCTATACCTATTCTTCATCCTCACATTGAGGATCTCCTCAGTTCTGTGCTCAGTGTCCCTATTCTTGCTTCTCTTTCTTCCTTCATAATCTTGATCCTGTAGCTAATCAATCCCATTGTCTTCTGCTCTTACCCTCTCCTTGGCAATTAGGTGTCAGGCACCTAGTATGTGGCAGGCACTGTTCTGGGTCCTGGGTGGAGATACAAATACAAAGATTTAAAGTATTCCCTACTCTCAAAGGAGCTTAAATCCACTTCTTTCAAATACACGTTACTAAACAGTGTTAAAGAAAGTTATGTAAGCATGCTGACTGAATTGGCTACAAATTTGTTTTCTAATCTCAACTGACACCCCTTATCCATAAGAGAATGTTTTACTGACTCTGACATTCCTCATACCAGCTAGTTCCAAATGTTTTCTTCCCTCCTTAAATTTCCTATACTCCTTCCTACCCTCCTCAGCAGAATACTGTTCAGAAAAGAGGCAATTCATGCTCTCTTTTACCCTCTCTTCATATCAAAATCCTTTGATGCATTTCCTGCTCTTTTATTCCTCTCATTAGTGAAGAGATGGCCCTTCTAATGACCAAGTCCAACTCAGCTTATAACCTTTTCCATCTTTGGCAGATTGCCTTTTTAATTATCACATCTCTCTCTACATTTGTTATTCTTTTCCTAACTAGTGACTTGCTACCTGTAAGCGTGTTCATTCCCTCATTTTTCACTTGTCCCTATGATTTCCCCATTAGGTTTCCTGTCTTATGCAGCCAAAATGCTAGAAAAAGCTGTCTAGATTCGCTGTCCGTTCTTCCTCTCCTTACAGTCCAACTTCCACCCTCAATTTCACCTTGTGACATCTCTCGAATATTCCCTGTTCTCTTCCTCTGAGACTGCCACCATTCTGGTGCAGGCTTCCATTACCTCACACTTTGATTACTGTAATAGTGTGCTTGTGGGTCTGCTTTCCTTAAGTCTCTCCCTATTCCAGTCCATCCTCCATTCAGCCACTAAAATGATTTTCCAAAAATGCTGGTCTGATCATGTTACTCCCTTATTCAGTAAACTCTGGTGGCTTTCTATTGCCTCCAGGAGCAAATAAAAAATACGGAGTTTGCTATTCAAAGCCCATTATAACCTAGCCCCCTCCTACCTTTCCAATCTTTTTATACCTTATTTTCTGACACATACTCTTCAATCCAATGACACTGGCATCCTGACTGTTCCATGAACAAGACACCCCATCTCTCAGCACTGGGCACTTTCTCTGCTTGGAACATGCTCCCTCTTCAATTTGACTACCTACCTCCCTGACTTTTTTTAAGTCCCAGGTAAAATACCACCTTCTGCAGGAAACCTTCTATCTTAATGCTTTTCTTTTTTAGTTATTTCCTATTTATCCTACATATAACTTGCCTTGTATATATTTACTTCCATGTTGTCTCCCCTACCATCTTTTGCCTCTTTTTGTAATCCCAGCACTTAAAGGCTGGCACATAATAATAAATGTTTATTGAGTGAATGAATAATAACTAGCATTTATGTAAAACTTTATATAAAGTTTTGCAAATATCTCATTTCACCCTCACAGCAATCCTGAAGTTAGGTCCTATTACCTCCATTTTATGGATAAGGAAAGTGAGACCAAGGTTAGGTGGTTTACCTAACCACCTCATAGGTAGTGGTATCTGAGGTCAGATACAAACTGACAACTTCCTGGCTCCGTATCTAGCCCTCCATCTGCTGCACCACATAGCTGGCTCTAAAAATTTCTTCTTGTGCAAAGTTATCAATGATCCCTGAATAAACAAATGAAGTGGTTTTTCTGAATCCTCATTCTTTTTGACCTCTGTGGCACAATAGGCCACCCTGTCCTCCTAGACAGGGTCTTCTCTCTAGGATTTGTGACATAGATCTCTGTTCTGACTGACCACTCCTCAGTCTCTTTTTCTGGAAAGGATGTACCTTAAGGTTCTACCTATCTTTCCCACTCTGCATTCTCTTACTTGGTGTTCTCATAAGTTTCCATAGATTTAACTAACTCTCTGCAGGTCTATGTATCTAGTCCTAGCTTCTATCCTAAACTTCAGTCCAACATTACCAACTGTCTGTTGCCAGCTGAGTATTCTGTAGTCAACCTCAAATTCAACATTTCTAAAACAGAATTCTTTCCTCCAAAATCCAGCCCTCTTCCTGACTTCGATGTTTCTGTTGAGAGCACTACCCTCCTTTCAGTTAACCAGGTTCAGAGCGTTGCAGTCATTTTCATCTCTTCATTTACCCTTAATATTTCGTATCTAATCAGTTGGCGAGTTTGTCAATTCTGCCTCTACTGAATCAGATTTGTCACTTTCTCTCCACTCAGCCACCTCATCACCTCTTTGCTTGGACTATTTTGATCGCCTCCTGATTAATTTCAGTGCCTCAGATCACTCCTGACTATTCATTCTATCTTTCATGCCTTTACATGGCTGCCTCATCCACACCCCATTCCTGGAATACATTCCTTCCTCACTTCTGCTTTAGGATCCCTGTCTTCACTCATGACTTTGCTTAAGTACCACCTTGTATATGAGTCCTTCCCTAATTCCATCCCCTTCTGCTTTTAGTTTTCCCTCCACCCCCACCCTCATCCTATGTCAAGAAAATCTACCTTGTGTTTGTGTATGTTATATATTATCTGTGTTCATGTTGTCTTCTCCAATAGAATATAAGCTCTACAGGGCAGGGAAAGTTGTATTTTTGCCTTGTATCCTTAGTGTCTTATATAGTGTCTAGCACATAAATGCATTTTTATGTATTAACCATATTTTCTATGGACTCTTTGAAATCAGCTCTCCTTAAATC